GGCCCCAAAGCGTGCGCAGACCCCATAGTTCTGAAGCATCTGAATTAACCAGCTCTCCCATAACATAAACCACTCTTTCTTTCTTTCTTTCTTTCTTTCTTTCTTTCTCTCTTTCTTTCTTTTTTTGTCCATAGGTATGTTTTACTCTGTGATAAAGATATTCATCACTAAGGTGGGAAGAACAAATTTTTTTGTTTTTTAGGCTACACCTGGTGATGCTCAGGAGTTATTTCTGGCTCTTTAATTAATTTAGTTAATTCTGTAATTCTGTGCTCAGAATTTTCCTGGCAGTACTTGGGGGAATATATATATGCATATATATGTGTATATATATATATATATATATAGTGTTTATGGGCCACAGGGATCAATCACTCCTGGCGGAACTCATGGGACCATGTGGGGTGCTGAGATCAAACATGGGTCAGCTATGTGCAGGGCAAGCACCTTCCCACTATCTCTCTGGCCCCAAGAGCAGATTTTAATTCATTCTTGGGCTTGGAGTGCCAACTTTCTGCCTGCCTGTCACACGAGCGAGCATCCAGTTTCACTCTCAGATGTGTAGCTTTATAGAGACTGCTTCACCAACTCCCAAATTGTCTAGAGCAATTCCCTGTGATACACGTGAGGTTCACGGGCAGAGCCTGGCAAGCTTCCCGTGGTGTATTTGATATGCCCAAATCAGTAACTATAACAGGTTTCATTCCCCTGACCCTGAAAGAGCCTCCAATCGCTGGGAAAGACGAGTAAGGAGAGGCTGCTAAAAATCTCAGGACGAATGGCGCCCGCTCAAGTAAATCAATGAACAACTGGATGACAGTGATACAGTGATACACATGAGGTTAAAGGTGAACAGGCAAATGAGGAAAAAGTATGTAAGAGGAGAGAAGTCACAGACCGCCACTCAGGAGTAAAGGTAGGAGCTACATAATGCTTCAGCACTGACTGATCAGGATGAAGGGTGGCTGCGGCGTGGGTCAGTCAGAATGAAGGCGCTCCTCTCTCTCTTTCCAGCTGAAACGCATCTATGGGAATAGCCCTGAGCTCCCTGGTCAGGGTGGAGTGGATGCTGGTCATATGCATCAGCTGTTATTTGTTAGGCTCTTAACTTATTTTGTTTTTGTGCCACACCCAGCAGTGCTCAGGGCTTACTCCTGGCTCTGAGCTCAGGGAGTACTCCTGCCAGGCTCGGGGCCATACAGAGTCCCAGATATCAAACCCAGGTCAGCAGCGTGCAAAGCAAGCACTCTACCTGCTGTAATATTGCTTTAACCCCTTATTAGGTTATTTAAGTTTCTCCACAGAGTCTAGTTTAATAATACCCAGACTTTTCTTTTAAAACACTTTTTGTTTGATTTGGGGTCACATCTGATGGTGCTCGGTAGGGTTGCCAGGGATTGGCCCCTCTCTCTCCTGCCCTAATTTTTTCCCCCCATGGGGTCACTTCCAGCTATGCTCAGCCTGTCATTACAGGTGGGGACACGTGTGCCAGGGACCTAACCCAGGGCCTCACACATGCTAGGTATGTCTTCTGTCACTTGAGCTACATCGTAGCCCCCAAGAACTTTTTGAAATTTATTTTTACTTTATTTTTAGGTCACACCTGGCAATGTGCAGGGGTTACTCCTGACTCTGCACTCAAGAATTACTCCTGTCGGTGCTCAGGGAACCATATGGGATGCTGGGAATCGAACCTGGGTTGGCAAGGCAAATGCCCTACCTGCTGTGCTATAACTCCAGCCCCCTCCCCAAAGAACTTTTATAGAGGGTGCAGGGGACTGAGCCCAGGGACTCTTCCAGGCAAAGCATGTGCTTTATGTTCTCAAGAATCTTGAACAAGTGTGTCATGAGCACCCACTTCACAGATGAAGAAATGGAGGCAGAGAGATGCATTGACCATGTCAAAGTCAGGCAGACAGCAGGTGAAGCAGTTCAGGGGGTGCCTGACCCCTTTTATCTGAATTCCTGGCTGTGGATGAGGAGGGTCAGGCAGTCTCCCACTAGTTATTTTTGTCTGTGCCATTCCTGGTGAAATGACCCTTTGAAGACCTACAGAAGGTCAGAGTTGAGAGGTCAAATGGGAGGGAATGGAATTTCAGAGGCACGGAGGTGGGTGTGGGAGAGGGTTGGCAGTACAGTTCAGAAAGCTGTAAAACCAACAGATGTTTGTGAAGACGAGAAAGAAACACCCCCAACTGCTCCCCTAGAGCTCTGGAGAGCAGGCATGGGCCCCTGAAGACTAGAGAACAAAGAACACCCAAGGCTAGTGACGGTCCTTCCCCTTCACAACTGCCCAGTGACACACCCCAACCCAAACAAAACCTGGTATTCCCAGGAGGCTGTGAGGTCAAATCTCACCCTAAGCCTGCACTCTGGACAAATGGCATCACTCTGTTTCTGAGAGCCCAGCTCCCAGAGACCCAAAGGAACCGGCTTCCAACACAGCCCAGGCACACCACAGAGTGAACAATCTTCCGAGTTTTGTAGCAAATCTCAAGAACCCATCAGCACATAAAAATCCTCTTTGGCGCTGACAGTACCAGGGATTGAACTGGGGCACCTTAGCCCTTGAAACCATCACCTTGGCCAGTAATGATGTTAAATATATCTCACACGGTTGTTGTGGAGAATAAACATTATGTGAGGGGCTGGAGCGATAGCACAGTGGGTAGGGCGTTTGCCGTGCATGCGGCCAACACAGGTTTGATTCCCAGCATCCCATATGATCCCCCGAGCACTGCCAGGAGTAATTCCTGAGTGCAGAACCAGGAGTAACCCCTGTGCATCACCAGGTGTCACCCCAAAAGTAAAAACAACAACAACAAAATGTTATGTGAGTGTAAAGGCACTGACTCTGGCCCATTTTACCATGCTTAGGATAGGTGACTTAACGTCTCTGGACCTCAACTTCTTCATCTTTAAAATGGGCTTTCAGGGGCCAGGGCGATAGTTAGGGGGTAGGGCATTTGCCTTGCATGTGGCTGACCCAGGTTCAATCCCCGGCATCTCATATGGTCCTCCAAGAACTGCCAGGAGTTGTTCCTGAGTTTGGAGTCAGGAGTAACCTCTGAGCATCGCCAGATGTGACCACCCCCTAAAAAAAATAAATAAATGAATAAATAAATAATAAATAAAACAGGCTCGCAGCGAGAGAGGCTAGAATCATGCACTCTGACTCTGGACCTGGTACATGATGAATGTGAGTCCCCAGATGTGTGGATCAGAGTTTCCCAAGGACTAATACTTATCTGTGAACTTGAGGGCACTGAAAGTTTTGTGAAAAATTCATCTGGCTTCATTGATTTTTTTCAAATATTGGAAAACTGAGGGAATCTTTGTGTAGCCTATTCTTATTTGCTTTTGTTTTTGGGTCACACACAGTGGTGCTCAGGACTTCCTGCTGGTTCTGTGTTTGGGGATCATTCCTGGTGGGGCTCGGGGAGTGCTGGGGATTGAACCTGGGTCAATCACGTGCAAGCAAGCACCCTGCCCTGTACTCCCTGCTCCAGCCCCTCTGTGTGCAATCTTATAAAGATCTTTCTAGATTTTCAAGAATTGAACATAGGATTCACTTCCAATACTTTATATCTAATTATTCCTACTTTCCTGTTTCAATAGCAAAATGTTAAGACAACCTAAATGGTCTGTCTCTGGAATGTTTTCTGTCTTCCTGCCTCTCTTGCTTCTTTCCTTTCTTCACTCCTTCTTCCTTCCTCCATCTTCCTCTCTCTTCCTCTCCTTTCCTCTCTTCTCCTTCCTCCCTCCCTCCCTCCCATTCTTCCTTCCTTCCTCTCCTTCTCTCCTTTATATGTGTTTATCTCTCTCTCTCTCTCTCTCTCTCTCTCTATATATATATATATATATATATATATATCACAGCAATTGGTGCTCAGGGCTTAGTTCTAGATCTGTGCTCAGAGAGCACTCCAGGCTGACTTGAGGGACTATATTGGGTGCTGGAGATGGGACCTGGGTTGGCTGCATCCGAAACAAGTGCTCTACCTACTATACTATCTACCCAACCTATCTTTCTTTCTTTCTTTCTTTCTTTCTTTCTTTCTTTCTTTCTTCATATGGGATGACTGCATGCAAGGCAAGTATCCTACTCGCTGTATTATCTCTCCCCTCCACGCTTCTGCCCTTTGAGTGTCACCCTCTTGGGCCCCACAGTCCTCCTTGCCTGGGGCCTGGCAAATACTTCCTGGGAGTTCTTGGGGCAGGAAGTCCTTGTCTATCAACCTCGGGACTTCAGACGCTAACAAAACCATCCCCTCCCACCTCTTCCTCTGTACCCCTAGTTCTCTAGCGCACACTACTATTCACAACCCCCCCCCCCCCCACTCTGACCCGCCCCAATCCCACTTCGCGTCCTGCAGTTCCATTCCCTGCTCAGATCCAGGGGAGTCTTGTCCTCCGTCAAACCACCTGAGCACCATCTTAGGCCCCAGAGACACCGCGGTAGTGGGACAGTGGGTGGGGCAGGATGCAGGGTGGGTGGGTGGAGCCAGACCCACTTCCTTTCCCCTTGGGGTTGCTGTCTGCAACTTCTGTCCCAGCTTCTCCAGGAGTTGGAGCCATCTGATCCTTATCGAGGGAGCAGGTAAAGGAGTGTGATTTGGGGAGCAGGGCCCCACTGGGCCCAGGGGTGGGTCATGGCTGCAAAAGATGCTGCCAGGTGATGGAAAGGCGCCCCAGAAGCCACCGACGCTGCGGACGAGGAGGGCGGCCGGGAGGAATGGCGCTGCGAGTCTAAGTGGCATGTTGGGGGTGGGGGAGGGGAGAGGAAAGCTGGTGGGGGCGGGGGGGCTGCCAGCCTCGGTTCCCTGGTTATTTCTGATAATGGTAGAAGCAGGGGTGGGAAAAGCCGTTAAACCACAAGTTGGGCCTGGCAGTTGGCAGGGAAGTGGGTAGGAGGGAGGGCCGGGCCAGGTCTTCTGCACACTCCTGTTGTATTTCTCTGACTTCCCCTCAGGTCCCAGTTCCTGCTCATGCCTGCTGCCATGGAAGCCACACTGCTTCTCCTCCTCTCCGTGGGCACCTGGGCCCAAAACTCAACAGAGCTCCGGGCCCCAAACCCAACGGAGCTCTGGACCCAAGACTCGGCGGACCTGTTGGACGATGCAAGTCCTTGGCCGACAGCTGTGGCTCCTGAGCCCTTTGCTTCTTTGGCCGCAGAGAGCACTGCAGTCCCAAACCTCACTTCAGGCACCTCTAATCCTGTGCTAACCAGGGACCCTGAGAAGGATGACGCCCCAGGGGACCCTATCAGGACTCCGCCTCCTTCAACTACTTCCTCAGGCCATGCTGTGGTCTCTTCAGCGACCCCCATTGACCACCCCGTATCTCTGCCAACAGTCTCCCCGGAAATTTCCACCCAGAAGTCTTCAGTGTTCCTGGACGTCTCTGACACAGCCAACGAATCTGCCGTCTCCATAGCAACAGACTCTCCGGGCAGCCAGACTGTGACTGATGAAATCCTGGCAACCGGCTCTCTGGAGCACTCCAGTCTGGCTGATGGATCCCCTATAACCATGACAACCGGCTCTTTGGACCTCTCTAAAGGGACCAGTGGACTCCCTGTCTCCATGGTAACTAGTTCCCCGAAGATCCCCAAGGGGACCGTTGGCTCCTCCACTACCCTGGTTAAAATATCGACCACCTCTTCCTTAAGCGCCTCCACAAACATAGTCAGGTTGTCCCCAAATTCAGACGAGGGGACGAAGAGCAACTTGGTGCCTGTGCTGGTGACCCTCCTGGTGGTCATCATTCTTGTGGCTCTCCTCCTGCTGTGGCGCCGGCGGCAGAAGCGGCGGACGGGAGTCCTGATGCTCAACGGGGTCGCCAAGCGCAATGGGGTGGTGAATGCCTGGGCCGGGCCTGCCCCCATGTCGAGTGGGGAGACGTTGACGGTCACAGTGGCAGAGGCAGGAGGTGACAAAGGCTCTGGGGTCCCCCCTGGGGAGGCGTCGGGCCGGAGACCCACGCTCACCACGTTCTTCAGCAGACGCAAGTCTTGCCAGGCCCCCGTGGCCCTGGAGGACCTTGGACCTGGGGCAGCCGCTGGGCTGAAGTCGGAGGAAGAGGCACTGATGGCTCCAGATGTGGCGGTGGAGAACCCCCCTTCTGACACGCCAGAAGCTGGTGACGGGGAGCACCCAAGTTTGTGTGAATGAGAGACTGGAGGGTGGGATCATTTCCAGCCTTCCTCACTCCCCCCCGACATCACCTCCAAACCCTCACGAAGCTTTTCACCCACACAAACAGTCTTTTTTTGTTTTTGTTTTTAATTTTGGGGACACACCTATCAGTACTCAGGGCTTGCTCCTGGCTCCATGCTCAGCGATCCCTCCTGGTGGGGATCAGAGGACCATATGGGGTGCTGGGGACAGGACCTGCAGCAAGGCCAGCCCCCTATCTGATGCACTGTCTCTCTGGCCCCCAATTCTTTGGATTCTCAGAGCATCTTCTCTCTGAATCGTTGTCCGTCTCTGAAACCATGATCTCTGGGTCATGCACCTGCACACAGCACCCAGATGCAACACTTCCCCCAGCACCCCCATCCAATTCTGCACCCAGCACTCCCATCCAACTCTGCACCCAGCACCCTCACCCAGCTCCCACCCAACTCTGCACCCAGCGCTGAAGCTGGGGCTCCCACTCGCTAATGCTTGTTATGCTTGCTGCTAAGTGTCACTCCCAGCAGTGCTCAGGGGAGCATGTGATGCTGGGGGTTGAACCCTGGCTTCAGTGTGCAGAACTGAAGCGGTCCGGCCTGGTCTCCTGAACTCCTTTCGACTCCATGCCAGGTGTGAATACACAGGCCCAGGGCGGTGTGGAAGGACGCTCCCACTCAGAATGGCTCTGAAAAAAACGCTGGGCTCCACGCGGGACACACTCCTGGCCAGTCTGTACCTTGTGGCCATCTCGGGGTGCTCTTGGAGGTACTGACCCAGTGACCCCCATGTCTGGCGGCAGAGGTGAGAAGATCCTGCAGGCCTCCTCTCTGCGGGGGTGCGGTTTGCCGCAGGAGGTGAGGATTTGATGGTGTTCGTGCCGGGTAGTGGTGGGGACAGACGGCACGAGGGAGGAGACGGGAAGGATGGCAGAGCCCGAGATGCCAGCCCGAGGGTGGAGGATGCAAGGGCTCCTGTGAACATATGTGCCCTCGTCTCCGCTCAGATGGCGTGGCGCAGAGAGGGGGTGCCGGCCGCTGAAGGCTGCTTGGCGGGGGGGCGGGGGGAGTGGGGGCCTCAGGCATACTCTGGCGGCAGTGGGAGAGCAGGACCCCTGTGTCCCGGCTGGGGCCTGGGCCAGGTCAGGCTGGGGCCACATGGACTCAAGGTATTTGGTATTTCTCCAGGCGAAAGAGGAAAGTTGCAAAGAGGAAGTGATTAAGTCAGAGGGTGACCAGATCACTGGCCTAGGGAAGAGGCCACGTGGCCTGACCTGCAGTGAGGCAGGGGCAGCAGACTGCTCACGGGGTACATCCACCTGCCACCAGTAGGTCCCACCCACCCCTGGTCTGAGGCTCATGCTGAGCTGGTGTGGAAATCTGGCAATGAGGCGACACCCCCAGTCTGGGCCATTTCTTACTGCTCAGAGGTGCAGCTCGGGCTAATTGGAACCCCAGAATGGCAGAAGTGAGCCCCAAGTTCTCAGATTTGCTTAACCAAGTAACCCAACTGCAAGTCTTGAAAATACTGTGGCGCGCTCAGAAGCCACCCCCGCCTCTCCCCACACGGCCCAGGAGACCTCTCACCACTCTCATTCGGCTCCTGCCAAAGCCCAGAGCAGACGGCCATGGCAGTGGGTATGGCGCCTGGTGTTGCTCTCATAACCCAGAAATGTCAGGATCTGGGAACAGTATCCAGGCAGAGCCTGGCAATCTCCTCGTGGAGTATTCATATGCCAAAACCAGTAATAATAACGGGGCTCATTCTCCTGACCCTAAAAGAGCCTCCAGTAAGGCAGCATTGGGAAGGACGAGTAAGGAGGGGCTGCTAAAATCTCAGGACTGGGATGAATGGAGATGTTACTGGCGCCTGCTCAAGTAAATCGATGAACAACGGGATACAGTGATACAGTGATCCAAGCAGAGACAGAGATCTTAGGAGGACACCAAAGGGGGGAGGGTAGCCCCCAAGGGGTTCCCTTTTACAGGGTCTTTGTCACATGCCCTGTGGTTGGCCTGGCACGGAGTCTTCAGTGAATATTCAGTTGAATGGGTAAGCGAGAGGAAACTGTGATTATGAAGAGTGAGCAGGTTGTTGCCAGGCTGGAAGCAGCATCACCTGCTTTGAGATCTATGGAGACAAATATAGAAAACAGGCTGTTGACTTTCTAGGGGAGGGGTCTGGGGAGGAAGCAGTGGCTGTTACAAGACCAAAAACAGGAAAAAGAGAAACAACAAGGACCGAACATATTGCTTATGAAGATAATTCTAAATGGGTTGTTAGACTTGTTATAATTGTTTAAATTGAGGTTTTCAGAAGCTATGAAGTGACTTTTAAATTTGTCCACAATATTTTAAGGGGAAGAAGCCAGTTATTAATCTGTAAATATGTCTGATTCTAGTTTTGCAATAACAAAACTAGATGCAAAATATAGGGCGAGGGAGCGGTACAGGGGTTAAGGTGTTTGCGTTCCTTGTACCCCTGGCCAACCACAGGGCATGTGACTATACCTGGTTCTCCCAGTGCTGTCGGGGCTCACTCCTGAGCACAGAGCCAGGAGTAATCCCTGAGAACTGCCAAGTGGGGGTAAAAAAAAAAAAGAAAGAAAGCGTTGACTTTTATAGAAATTAAGATTGGAAGGAAATATCAGAAGAAAAAAATTTACTATCATCATGTATATGATAAACTTGAGTGATTTTTATTTTGTTTATACTTTTGTGATTTTCCAAATTTTATACAATAAACACTTTACATTTGAAAAATACAAAGTTATTGACTGAAATGGGGAAGGAGGGTCTGCTGTGAAGAGGATTATGGAAGAAGAGACGGGGAGGCAAGTTGGAGCCGAGCTATGCAGGGCTTGAGAATCTGTATTTAGTTCTGAAAACAAAAGGGGCAAGTTCAACCTTAAGAGTTGGTTTCAGGGGCCGGAGCGATAGTACAGCAGGTAGGGCATTTGCCTTGCACACTGCTGACCAGGATTCAATCCCTGGCATCCCGTATGGTCCCCTGAGCACTTCCAAGAGTAATTCCTGAGTGCAGAGCCAGGAGTAACCCCTGAGCATCGCCGGGTGTCACCCAAAAAGAAAAAAAAGTTGGTTTCACTGCTCTCTCACTCTCTCTCTTGCACCTCAGCATGTAGTAAATACATACTGACCCGGTGAAACGTGAGAGCCAATAGGAAACCCCTTCCTGTGCTGCTTCTCTGGGCCAAGTTCAGCAGCATAGCAGAGATCTGAGGGTTCAAATTGTTTCCTCTCTTCAGTCTCCATCACCCCACACAGAGCCCTGCCTCTCCTCTGCCCACACTTACCCTGAATCATTCCTACTCACCCTGACCAGCTCCCTGGGGCCAGTGGGCAGAGGGGAGTCACTCGGCTCTGGGTACCGCCAGGGATGGGGCCTTCTCCAAGCTGAGGGATGTGCTAGAGGCAGCTCAGTCTAGAGTGGCTAGCAAAAAAGTGTCCACTGTCGTCCACTTGCTCCTAATGATGAGCTGCAGATGGGTGCAGCGGGCCTGAGAGAAAGCTCAACTGGCTAAGCACTAGCTTAACGCTGCCTGCAAGATGCCAGTTCAATCCCTGGCACAGCATGGCGCCCCAAGAATAGAACCAGAAGGTTCTAAGAGTCTCAAAGGACAGACCTCAAAAAATATAGAAAAACATTTTTTAAAAATATTTTTGTTTTAGGGACTGGAGTCATAGTACAGCGGGTAGGGTGTTTGCCTTGCACGCGGCTGACCCAGGTTCGATTCCCAGCATCCCATATGGTCCCCTGAGCACCATCAGGAGTAATTCCTGAGTGCAGAGCCAGGTGTAACCCCTGTGCATCACCAGGTGTGACCCCCCCCAAAATTTTTAGGTCACACCTGGAAGTGCCTTGGGGGACCCTATACAGTGTCAGGGCTCAAAGCTGGGTCAGATCCATGCAAGGCAAGTGCCTTAACTGCTGTACAATCTCGCCAGCTCCCAGAAAACTTCCAGCCTATCCAGGCTGAGGAAACCATATAATGGCTGACTATCCTTGACTAGGGGGCTTAGGGCTGAGCCAGACAAAGAAACCATTGTTCTCCAGAGACCGTCATCCACTTGCTCCTAATGATGAGCTGCAGATGGGCACCTGCCCATGCCCATCCGGCCTGAGGCATCAGATAGCCCCATTGGACCACAACTAAGGTCCCAGGAGGTGTCCTCATGGAGACCTTCCTGAATTTGTGCCAAGGTGGCTGGAAGTCAGCCCACCCCGCTCTTGCCCACAGCACACATATCTTGACTTCCGGCCAAACTCCTCCTCACTCGTCAGGCTTCAACTCAAATGTCACTGCCTTGGCAAAGCTGTGCTTGCTGCCTCCACCCTGAACGCACAGTGTGTTTCTGCTTTGTGTGACCGGGGAGAGCTGGCATGATCAGACAAGCCCTTCACTCATTAAAGTGTCATCTTTGTGGCTCCTGCCTCAGGAGCTCCCCATATGCAGATGAATGTGGAGAATCAATGAATGAACCAGTGATTTGGGTGGGTGGGGGTGCTTCCTAAGCAGTGCACAGATAATCTGGCGGCCAGTGAGGATGGGCAGTTTGATGTGAGGACTCTGTGGTGCCAGAGACCAACAGGGCCAAAACTTATAGTGGTGATTTGGGACCATGCAGTGCTGAGGTTCACACTTGGGTTTCAGTGCCCCTAACCATTGGGCTATCTCCCCAGTCCCGATAGTGATTATTCTATTTTTTTCCTGGGCTTTGGGTCACATTTGGTGCTGCTCAAGGATCGCTCCTGGCAGTGCTCAGGGGATCATATGTGGTGCTGAGGATTGAACCTGAGTTGATGCATTCAAGGCAAGCACCTTATTTGCTGTAGTATCACTCTGGTTCCCAGTGGTGATTACTGTATTTTGATTTTTGGGCCACACCTGGCAGTGATCAGGACTTACTCCTGGGTCTGTGCTCAGGGATTGCTCCTGGAGGAACTCAAGGGACATTATGGAGTGTTGGGAGTCAAACCCAGGTTAGCTGTGTACAAGGCAAGGGCC